CGGAAAATCAGCTGCTATCCTGAGATGGGTCAGCCCCGGGTGATGTGATAAAGGCTCCTACAAGAGGGGGCGCCAGGTGGACAGTGAACCAACCAACAGGCTAATGAGATTCCCACCTGTGTTTATCGTGCTTTCGTAGCCAAGAATGAGGAGAGAGTTGAATGGCTCACCATGAATATTTTAACAACTTGAGAGGGTTCCATGTCTCACTGCATTTAAGTGTCACCTGGAGGAATTCAGGCAGTGTTTAGACCCAGGGGAGGCTAACGGCCTCTCGGTTCCTCATCAACCTGGCAAACCCACCAGCCCCCTATGGCCAGACCTTGGCAAGTGCCTTCCCTTGTTATAACGAAACCCTTCTCACGCACATCTGTGGTAAACTTTTGTTTTTGTTTTAATTAATGGGAATGAAAATACCTTACAGCCTCCTCAGACCTTTCCTTAGGGCTTCTCGCCTTAGACCCCGGCAAGGGGGCCCACTGCCCTGGGTCCTGCACTGCAGAGGGTCCCCCTGGCCCTGACACTTCCTCTGGCCACGCCCTCCATTGGGTGGAGTCAGCAGGGCCAAGGGGACATGGTCATTGGCTCCATCCCGTGCTCTAGAAACCCAGGACCCTGAATGCCCTGCCTCAGCAGCCCCTGACCCATTTCTAGTGCCTGCACCAGCTCTCCCCAGAGTTCAGATTTCCAGGACTCACAGAGAGGCCAAAGGGCAGCTGTTTACCTGGAGGTTATAGGCAGAGCCCGGACGTGAAGTCTGAGTGTCCCCCTGTGCACATCCAAGGCCCCTTATTGCAAGGGATGGACCCAGCATTGGGAAGAAAAGGGTCAGGCTAGTGATCAGAGTCTGGGAATCAGCTCTCCCCACACGCTCACTTTCTTTGCAGGACTCCCCTGAGTCTGGGAATTCTAATTTTGAACCTGGTCTTCCCCCTTATAATGAATGTATATTTGTAAAGGCAGGACTTTAGAACCTACTGCACTTAAAATGTTTAGATATATAGGATGTGAGCTCCCAGGTAGGCTCTGGAACTGCACTTCCAAAGGTCCAGAGCATTTATGTTGGCTCTGAGACTGTAAGTGGCAAAGACCGTCTCTAGAGAGGAAGGGCTCCTGCTTCATGCTCCGAAGTCAGGATCTTCTGAGGGGATAAAACAATGGACACTGAGACCCTCAATTGTAAATTGATTTAGAATAACGCCAAAGGTGTGTATGACGTGTGTGTGCGCACGCACGCACCTGGGGAATTGTGTGGTACATGACTGTGAGTGTGTGTGTGGCTGTGCACGTGCGCGCCTGGGGATGTATGTGGTTGTGTGTATGCTATGTGTGTGTGTGCGCCTGAGGACGTGTGTGGTTGTGTGTATGGTATGTGTGTGTGTGGTACATGAGTCCATGTACGTGTGTGTGTAGGGATGTATGTGGAGCAGAGTCAGTGTGTCTGCACGTGTGTGTACGTGCATGCATTAGTTTTAACCATAGAAGCTGTCCTTTAGAATTCTGAAGTCGTAAAATTTGTATGATGTCTTTCACTGTATATTTCAATATTAAAAACATCTTCAGTCACCAGAAACTTATTGCCCCCCGATTCTGATTTTTTTTTCCATATTGATATGTCTTCATTTTACTGATGAGGAAACTTAGCTTAGAGATGTTAACTGACTCAACCAGGGGTATGGAGCTTGCGCGCCCAGGGCCAGGACGCAGTCCAAGCCAAGCTGCTCCAGAGGCCCGGAGCCCTGCTCACGATCACGCATGGCCTCTTGGCGGGGGAACAGATTCTAATGGGCTGCAGCCAGCATGCAGGCTGCCCAAGCCGGGGTCTCCGGAAGCCGGGCAGAGAGTACCAGACAGCAGACAAGAGTGAAGCCCTGCTCAGAAATCAGATAGGTTCCTGGGTCTTGGATGAGTAAGGAGGCTTACTGCTCATCCTTGATCCCTTTGCTGGTGGCCAAAAGGGACCAAGGCCCACGAGAGCACTTCTGGGAGGTGCCTGCCAAAACCTGGAAAAGGACTGCTCAGGACTGGCCCTGCAGTAGGAGCAGAGGAAGGAATTGTCGCCTCTTTGTGGACATTCTTGGTGATGGCAGTAGGAAGCCAAGCAGCCTTGGTATGTGGGTGGCAGGACAGGGTCCTAGTGGATGATCGTTTTCACCTCTCTTAAAAATCATTGCTTCATGTATTGTATTCATTTTGTGGTTCATTTTAGGATGGTGAATATGGTCTCTGTTACTCCATATAA